CTCTCTCTCTCTCTCTCTCTCTCTCTCTCTCTCTCTCTCTCTCCCTCCCCATTCCTATTAGAAAGGTACTCAGGCTTCACAATCTCAGGGGTTTCCAAGCCTGAAGGAAAGGCCTAATAAAATGCTACCTTTGCCCTGGCCCTTCAATTCTAGGAAGTAGTTCAATGTTTGACCATTTTCCCTAAATATTTTAAAATAGTTAATCAGGTTAAGTCAGTTGAGTCTTGTTTTCCAGATTTCCCTTCTTGCCCCCAATCTCCTTGATCTAGAATATCCTCTTTCTCTCTCTATCTCTGTCTCTGTCTGTCTGTCTGTCTGTCTCTTTTCCTCCTCACTCCCTTCCTGTCTCTTTGTCTCTTTTTTTTTCTTTCTATCTGCCTTGCCGCCACACTAGGATAGATCTGCTTCCCATTTTCCATAACTTTGCTACTCTCTGTCATTACAGTTCTACAAATCAATGAGCTGGTCCCCAGAGACATGTAGAAGTTAGATCGTCACTGTATGCATGAGTCCCAATCTCTCCAAAGGAAGGGGAGGAAAAGTGACAAAATGGTGGAGCAGACAAGCCTTGGCCCCAATCCAGGGAAAGCTGAGATTCCTTTGCAAAGGGAAGTATAATCCCAGGATCATAGGCTTTAGAATGGGAACCAATTTCAGAGACCAGGTAGTCCAACCCTCTCATTTCACAGGTGACGAAACTGAAGCCTAGAAAAGTGAGGTGACTCACCCACAGCATTAAAAACAATTCTTCAGAAATGTTCTAGCCAGCTGAAGAAGGATCATAAGATTTAGAGCTCAGAGGGAGTTTAGAGATTATTAAGTCCAACCCACTCCTTTTACAGAGGAGAAAACTGAGGCTCAGAGACTCGTCCTCAGCCACATAGGTAAAGAGAGGCAAAACAAGGCTTCTTCCAACTCCGGTCAGTGGACTTCAAGTCCAGGACTCCACGGCCAATGCTCAGTCACTAATATGTAAACTGTCATTTATTTATAGTACAATAGAATCAGAGGATTTTGATTTGGAAAGTCCTTTAGAGGTCATACTGTTCAAGTCCCTCATTTTCTACATGAGGAAACCAGGCCCTGAAAAGTTAAGTGACTTTCTTCTCAAAATCACAAAATTAGTAAGTGGCAGATCAGGGATTTTCATGTAGGTCTTCTGACTCCGATTCTAGAACTAGTAAGGTATTATCCCTTGTAAGAATGTTCTAGGAGATTTAAAACTGGAAGGGACCTTAAAAGCTATCAAGTTCAACTCCCTATTTTACAGATGAAAACACTGAGGCACAGAGAATGACTTGCACAGGGTCACTTACACAAGTGTCTGTGGCAGGATTCAAACTAAATCTTCCAGGACTCTATCACTATACCAGTGGTTCTTAAACCATTTTCTAGGGACCCTATTCAAAAAGTCCTCAAGGTCAATACTACTTTTGTAATGATATTAAAAAATTTTAATTTCTAATGAAGCAAATATTAAACCCACATAAGTAAAAGCTATATGGGGGATCCTCAATAATTTTAAAGAGTATAAAGGGTTCCTGAGACCAAAAAGTTTGAGAATCACTGTACAATAGATGCTTCTAAAATATCCAAGGTTGGGGGGTCTATGTTTTGACAGATAATTAGGGAATAATGAGGACTTCCCCAAATCAAACCAGGTAAGACAGGCCTAACTCTCCATCCTCAGTAAAATGGATTCCAGTCAAGTCAGGCCTTGGTCAGATCTTGGGGGCAAGGTTTTCTTCATGCAATATGAGATCTCAGCACTTGATAGGAAAGAAAATGGTACATTCTATTCTGCG